CCAACCACTCTGTCCCCTCTGGTCCTGGCAGCTCTTTTCCCCTCTTCTCTCCGAAGGCCTCTGGTGCCGCCGCTCCCCCTCTTCTCGCTGCGTCCTGCTCACAGGCTTCCTGTCAGAGCCCTTCCCGGGCTGCTGGCTCCCGCTGGCGTAGCGCTCGTAGCCAGGGTCCTCCTTCTCCTTCTTAATCTTGATTCTGGGGTGCGCCTCCTCTGCGGACAACGCCCTCTTCACAGCCTGCGAGCTCTGCTTCTGCCGCTCCTGCCTACTTTTCTCCTTATCTGAAATACAAGGTTCATCTTTTGGGATGGACAATCCTGCAAGCATCACCTCAAGACCCCAAGCTCTGCCTAGCCCTGCGGCACCTTTCCAACTCCCCTCCCACTTCAAGTTCCCCCCCTCCACCCAAGCTTCCCAGCCTGTTTCCCCTCCCAGAGAGATCCTATTCCACTATTCCTATCCAGTCCCGACACTTTTCTCCTCCCTCTTGAGCCATCTTACTTCCTTCTTTAACACTTGCCATACCATGTTCTGCCCTCAGGCACTTCAACACAGCTTGGAACATCGAGCACCTTCCTTTCATCCTCCTTCCTCGGAAACATCCATGCAATAAGAACACCGTGATCCGCTCTGTGGAGGTTCTCCCCTCCAGACCCAACAATTCTTTCCCCTCTCCACTCTCCTCTGCCTCTCTCATTTTTGTGCATCTCCTCAGCTCTCTGGAGCAACGTCCTGTCCCCACCCATAGTTTTCCTGCCTATTTTCTTTCCTCCAACCCTTCTCTCAAACTAGTGCTCTACCCTGACCAACATGCCCCTCCGCCCCACGCTAGGGCCCCACACACCCCGTGTCCTCCCGCACGGAACACGGCACTGAGCTCCCCTCTTTGACAGGGGACAGGAGCGCAGTAAGGACAGGTCTCAAACCCCAAACCCTGACAGCGCGAGGGCTCAGCTGTAGCTACAAGACGGCCCCAAATACCTAATACCCATCTGTCACTGCCAGAGCCCGGCTGCGGGAGGGAAGGTTCCTCTGCATGCCGCGCTGCTCCAAGCTCTCCGTGCCATGCTGCTCACGCCACAAGCTCCAAGCCCATTTGGGAACAACGGGACATCCTGCCCCGGGGTGAGCACACCTAACCAGCCCAGCCTAGGAGCACAGCCCATCTCAGGTGGATGCTGCCGGGAAGCCGTTAGCAAGCGGCTCCTACTGCGAGTCGCTGTGTCTAGCACTGCACTGGCTCTGACAAGTGCAGCTTTTCAACATCTCTACTGCACAAGTGGGAAAAACCCTCAAGGCTTCTTAAAAATCCATCGGTATAGCTGCACAGGCTGGCACGTTCATTCAGGTTCAATTTGGATGTATTCTACATCTTTCCGTTTTCTTCTGGAAGATGTAGAACAACAAATCCCGCTGCATCCGCTGAGGACAGGAGGCATTCAGGCACTTGCAGGGACTTTTTTAGGTCTGCTTTCATAGAATTGTGGGGGTTGGAAGGGACCTTCAAAGGTCACAGAGTCCAGCCCCACCTACTTTCTTTGACTTCAGTTTCCAGCCACAGAATCTCATCTAAATCTGCTGGTTTTATTTCTATTTGATTCAGTTATCTTGTATTGAAAGACCATTGTGTCATCTACGCATCTACAGCACTCTAGGCCTACGGTAGCAACATCCAGACTTAAGCTTAAGTGCTTTTCCTAAGCCTTCCCCCTCCCTGTCCCCTGCAGTAAGCCTGCAGCCTGGCAGGCTTCTTTTCCAGGAAAAGTGCTATTATTGTCTGCAAGATACAGCCCTTCAGAGGCTGGGGAGGACATTCACAGGTAAGAGCTCAATACAGGTGCTCAGAGACTCTTCAGGAGATCATGAAGTAAAGCCTGGACATTAGGGCTGGGGCTCCTTTGAAGAGCACGCCCGTCCTTGGTCTTCCCCCTTCCCCGAGCAAAGGGCCCCTGTGAGGCTGAGGGCTCTGTGCAGACCCTCCCACCTGGGGTCAAGACCGGCAGGAACACACCTCACCTTTCTGCTTTTTTATGGGCACATCACCATCTTCCGACAGGGAATCCGATGACGTATGAGGTGGCGTTTTAACTCCACAACCCTTTGCATGGAGGGCTTTTGTGACTTCATCTAAGTCATCGGAATCTTTGGGGGGACGATAGTTGGCCACGTGATCCACTCGAATCGTCCTTCCTTTGATCTACGAGAGGAGTCGTGCTGTTAGCAAAGGCACAGACGGGCTCCCCAGGCGCTGCAGGTCGCCAGCAACCCGCGCTGCCCAGGCTCCCGTCCGACACGAGGCAGCATCTCGGGAGCCACGGCAGGCAGGACTGCGGCCCAGGCTGCTTCACTCACCCTGATCCCATTGAAGTTGTCAACAGCGAGAATGGTGCTCCTCTGGTCCTCATAGCACAGAAAGCAAAAGCCTTTGGACTTTCCAGTTTTCTTGTCCCGCACCAGGTTAATGTTGACGACCTCCCCGTACCTGCAACACACTCTTAGCACCCGAGGCAGCAGCGGGGGCACGG